TGGAAAACGGCATTTAATCGAAAAATTTATATGAAAAATATTGTTTATTACGAGATTTTCTATAAGGTGAGCATAGTCTTAATCAAAAAAGCGGCAATCCTAGTACCAGTTCGTAGCGGAAAGCATTACCGAGCATTTTTTTTAAATACACAAGATTATCTTGGAAACATACGGCTTGTGTTTAAATGAAATAACGGTTTTTATCTGTCAAAGTGGCGTCAAATTCTTCTTCTTGTATTAAGCCGCTGGGTTTTAGCTACACAATGGCAGAAATCATCTGTTTATAGGGATGGGCCACATGCGCGTACCTTCAACATTCCGATTCATTAATCGTTAATTCGGAAAAGTTAAACGTTGTGAACTTTTGAAGGTCAAATTTTAAGAATTAAGCTACGTTTATGCATTAAGGACTTGGGTAAACGGTCGCATTTAACCACGCGGTGTTAACTTGGATTTTATGAATTAAGTCAAGGATTAAGAATTAAGAATAAAATTACGACGTTGCGTAATCCAGCACTTACGTCTATACAGGAAATAGGTAGTAGACGACACCGACAAGCTCATACATATGATTGTGCGCTTAAATTAGCCGGTTCCCAGCTGATTGCAGGCAGCGGTTTGAAATATCAAATTAATTATGTATGCATGCAAAGAAAATAAATTAATCGGTTATTTTCTCAATAAAGTATTTTCAGGCATTCTCTATGGATGTCTATGAACGAGTGTGAGTTCTTAATTGGTTAATTGGAATTATGATGAGAATCGAAAAAGTAGTGAAAATATATCATCTGGGTTTTACTAATTACTATCTATTTTATATTAAATAGTTAAGTATATTAAATGATTTGTGTACATGAAAAGGTTAAGGATGTGGTAATGTTAAGAAAGTGCTAATATAGTACTGGCAACTACGCGAAAAATTTCGACTGGCACGCCGGCGCAAATAGCTGAACCATCATGGCAACAGTTGTTTTGGGGTGGAAACTGGTGAATTTCCAATCCAAAACTTTTTTTTAAATCAGATTTTTGATATCAAAAAAGAGAACTTTTTTGATATAAAAAATTTTCGTAATTTGAAGCAAAGATCGTAATTTTTCTTTTTGAATGCTTAAGTATTCCAATAGGATGCCAATCCAACGTGGGATTTTTTCAAAATAATTCTTAATAACAAAGTTGAAATTCGATCTTCAACTGTTAATATCTTCTAGAAATTTTGGAAAAAAAAATTTCAATGTTTTTCTGGTACTCCCCAAGGGAGCCTCTATCACCTCTTAAAAGGAATGACGCCAATTTTGAATCACCCTGTATATTCCTATATTCCCAATAATCTTAATAGTTTTGTTTTATCGCAAGGATAACCCATTTTTGCTCGTGTTTTTAAGCAAGAAACAATGTGATTTTCAACATTCAGCCCTGTGCTGTATCATAAATGCTATTTTTAACGGCCACACGTTATGGCGACTTAACAGTTCAGGATAACATTTTCGATAACGTAGCAACACAACCGAGGTGTGATCTATCTCCGAGTTAACGTATGCGTTTCCGACCCAGTTATCCATCAAACGTTAAAAAGGAAAAAAATATTGGATGCATAAAGTGATGCCCTTATACGAATAGTCTATTAGTTAGAGAGAGAGTTAACATCAAACCATCGAATCTTTTAAAACATATGCACCACCACCACATGTTTACGTTTTGACGATTCGGGCCACCTACTACCCTACTTGTCTTTGTTTACGATTTGCATTCACTTTCAATTTCGTTCGTTATTGTTCTTGACATATCTTCTCAAACACTTTCAATAGAGCATGTACAGAAAAGGAACAAAAAACAACCCGCAAGCAATTTGAAAATTTAGTAGAGTTTGTGGAAGAAAATAAAGTTTATTTTCAAGACCATTGACTAATTGTTCTAATATAGCTAACCTTATAAGACCACCAAAAGACATATTTTTGTTTTAAATTAAAAACAAATTATAGCTAAAACACAAAACTACGCTCTGATTAATTTGACACTCTGACGCAATTGTTTTATTTATTCTTCCGAGCTTAACTGATTTGATGCTGGTATTCTGAAGCGCTATTTCTTCATATAACGTTCGTCGATAGCGTGCGCCTGTTATAATATAAAGGTTTTACTGTTACAACACACCAGTTGGAGCCACATAACGTGTTTGACGGATAACATGCACGTTAAAGTTAATGTGAGTCATACAGCACAGGGCTGATTGTCGGTGAAACAACTCCTCCCATTCGATCAATTGGCACGTTCCTACCATTTATCCTGCTGTAAATAACAGATACTGGAATACCGCAATATTCGCTAGCGACTCTATAGTTTTTTTCTTCTCCTTAGCATCATCAACAGCTCTGGCTAAGTCTGCTAAAGTATAGGCTGGTGGGTCCCGCTTTTTAATGTACTACTTACGTGGCATGTTTTATTAGATATGAATTATAGATCTAGAAAATAAGGAAGAAATCGGTCAGTTTTGTGGTGTTCTCATTTACCCCCGGCAGGTGTTTTAATTTTCCCCCCTATTAGTTTTATTTGGGGATAGTTGGAAACACTGACCAGAAAACCGTTAAAAACGTTAAATATCCTCCAAAGTAATATCTGCAGGTCGACAAAGAACTTATAAATAGCCTGTAATAAAAGGAATATAAAAGTTACCTAAAATATGCTCCCGGTTTTCAATATTTTAAACACTATCAAAACCAACAATCAGGATTGAAAATATATCAAATTTCATTTAACTATAAATTGTAAACAAACACCTCTGGCGAAAAAGGGAAAATGGCACGAGACAAAAAGAACTTTGTGAATCTGGCGCGTAATAAAACATTGTTTTCAAATGTATTTTGTTCAATTCAAATATGTTATTTACTGGTGCTGTTTCCAATTGCCCTTGTTTCCAATTACCCACATTGACCCTAACAACTTTTCGAATATTTAAATAAAATAAATTATAATTTGAAAACGGTTGATTTCACAGCTTAAAGTCTGAATGCAAATTTGTAACTTTGTAAATTATCTATCTAATGACGTATTAATATACAGGTACTTCTATTTAAAAAACAAAAGTTATATTGCCTTAAAAAAAGTTTTAGATTGAAGTCGACATTGTTAATACCCTGTACAACGTATTGATATTTTGAACCAATAGAATTCTTAACGGATCTGTGGTGATTGGAAAGACGTATATTTTTTATCTTTAACTGTTTTTTTTGCTTGTACAATTAATTTTTAGATACCATGTTTTTAAGCAAAATTTTACTAATATGGCGATAATCTGCCAACGTCGCAAGTAAGAAAAAAAACAATTTGCGGTGCATATGCAGCGTTTGAAGCTGCATTCCATGAGCTAATACAAACTGGGTAGTTCTATTTTTAAAAATACACTTTGATCTTGCCTCGCTTTTCTGAGACACTCTGCATCATATACGATATTTTGAAAATGTGCGCACTTTGTGCGTCAACAACTATTATATGAAACTATTTTTCAGTTCAACACCAACAGAAATAATGGACTCTCTCCCACTAAAAAACCACCGTGTATGTTAGCTTTTACACTGCATTTTGATGCCAAAATTGCCTTTCAATTTTAACAACATTTTTAAACAGATTTTTTGAATTAATTTATCGAGGTGGTTATTTAAAAGTATCCCCGAATCTCGGGCAAAATCGTAACAGAGTTTCAATGTTTTCTCCTAATTTTGGCGTGTAAATTTAATGTGTGGCGTGTAAGTTTTGGATTAAAAAAAACTGTGTTTTAAGCTGTCCTGACTATAATAAAAAATCCCCGAAATCCCAAAAAATCGGAACAGAGCTTTAAATTTTCTGCCAACAGAGCGTTAATCACTCTATTTAGGAGTGTTTGGCGCAATTCTGTATCTTGTTTAGATTGAGGTATGAATTTTATCTTAAATACACTTGCCTAACATTTGTTTAATGCGTCTGCATTCTAGTTTACTTCTTATCTCTGAATCATCTGAATATGCTGATATTTATTTATTTATTTACTTTATGACTAATAATACTAGGTTCGAATAGAAGTTCTTAGGAAATAATCTACTGGGACCTGTAAGATTATTTTCATTCAGAACATTTATTTCGATAATAGAGATAATTCGATAAGAGATTATACTATAATAAATAAAGAGTATAATTTGTGCGTGGCGGTGATTCGGCTCACTTTAAGGTCCGTATTTATAAACGATGCTCAAGCCTGAGTCCAGTCTCAAATACGACTTGGCTTCGATTCTTCTTCTTCTTATGTACCGTGTCCTTTCAGAACGTGGGTCACAAACAACGCTAGCCGTACTTTGTCCACGGCAGCTCTAAAAAGTGTGTGTGAATTCGTTTTGTACCAGTCGCGCAGATTTTTCAGCCATGTCGTTTTCCTCCTGCCTGGTCCGCGGCTGCCATGAATTTTACCCTGCATAATGTTTTGTAAGAGTCTGTACCTTTCTTCTCGCATGACATGGCCGAAATACTCTAGTTTCCTCTTTTTGATAGTGGAGAGGATCTCAGTGGTCTTATTTAAGCGCTGTAGTATTGCCACGTTGGTGATTCTTTCAGACCAGGTGGCTCTTAGCAGTCTCCTGTAGGCCCACCTCTCGAACACTTCAAGCCGACTTTCTTCATTTTTGTTGATGGTCCAAGCTTCAACTCGGTACAGTAATGTAGAGAATACGTAGCATCGCAGCAGTGGGATTCGTAGGGATAATTTTAGGTCCCTGCATCCTAGAACATTGCTCATTTTTCTGTAAGCTCCTCGTGCTTGTTATATTCTTGACCTTACTTCTGTGTGGCTATCTGCATTTTCTGTTATAACGTTGCCTAGGTATCTGAACTGATAAGCTTGTTCCAAGCGCATGCCTTTGACTCTGATAGTCTGCTGTTTACTGATTACTAAAACTTTGGTCTTTTTATGTTTAGTTCTAAGCCAGCTGCGTCGCACTTTCCTACCACACTGTTCAAACTCCGCTGTAGATCTTCTGAGCTAGAGGCCAGCAAAAGCGTGTCATCCGCGTACCGCATGTTATTTATCAATTCGCCATTAACGACAATGCCCACTGCTGCCTCCGAACATGCATCTTTGAAAATTTTCTCTGAGTATACATTGAAGAGCAACGGAGATAGGATGCACCCTTGCCTTACGCCACGCTTGATGGTTACTACTGGCGTGGTGGCACAGAACATACCCCCTTAGAATGGAAACTGCAATGATAGGTTATGGAGATAAATTCAGCACACAAACTATGGGAATGTGAGGAATTTTTCCGATATTTGACTCCTAATGATTGCATTCACCAAATATATCGGGTCAATAAAAAAACCCTGTTATGTAATATTTTATTCAATACGTAGTCAATAAATCAGTTACAACCATGTTTTGTTGCTTTCGGGACTACTTGCAACAAATGTTTGTTTCTGTGATGTACCAGTGTTCCCCTTGTCCGGATATTTTCTGAAAGATGATTGATTTGCTCGGCTTTGAAACAACAATGTGAGGAATTAATTTTCTGGCATTGCCTAAAATCATTTGTCGCTTCAGCAATTTTACTAATTGTTTTCCTCAAATGTCAATTTTGCTTTATAAATAATGCTTTTTCA